GAAGGTTGCAATTTTTAGGCTACAGCGCAGGTTTGAACTTTACTCAGCAGGCTCTCCACATCACACACTCACAGCACAGCTCCTCTTTAGACCCGCACACACAAAGCTACAGATCATTTGTTTCACGTCTGTCAGCACACTCACTTTCTTTCACATCTCATCATGCCTGCCAACAGTGGTCATTAAGGAGGGCGCAACAAAAAGAAGCTACTGGCTGGTGCAGGGGTGTACGCGGATTGAAAGACCAAACAAGGCCATGGATACAACAGAATGTACTTCTCATCGTGTTTTAAACACATGCAGTGTGTAGCGTCACACACAGGCTGTGATGAATGCAGTGTCAGTACCCCCCGGTTACTATAGTTCAGCTGTGAGGCAAGTACTTATTCTAGTATTTAGCTGAGTGATACACATGAAAGCTTTCAGCCGTGTGTGTAGACAAGATGGGTTTGTTTTTACACAGCACTGGAAATAATTTTCTCACTTTTAGTGTCATTTTTGCACTTTGAAGTCTGTAAAAGAAATGAAATGATTTGAATAATATGCTGTGGCCTTCATGTACGTCAGATCTCATCTGAACTGAGCACCTGCACAAACACACTGCACTAACTCATGTAATCCCAACTCTTTCAGGCAAAAGTATTTTTGGACAAGATACTGAAACATAAATTACTGTCCTCCTAGCAACTGCCAAACCCAGACTCATACGTCAGATGGGAAAGGGTGATCGGTCACTCTGTTATTCTCGAGAGCACAGTGGCCACGCGCTTTATTCCACTGAACCTGATGCGTTGATGGGCTTAGCGATGTAAGGGTTGGATGCAACTGGAAACCAGTTCCAAGCAAAAGTTCCGAAGCACACTTAAATACTCACATCAGTGCATAGTGGCGTCTGCTTCATCTCAACCAACCAGTTTAATGTATTTGCATAGCATGAAGGTTAGTGCAACAAAGTCACTCTGAGATTGGAAAGGACGTGTCAGAAGACATCATCGTCTCATGTGGATCCAGTTGAATCTATTGTACTAACATAGACCGCTGTCAACCACTTTCATGTAATCCAACAAATAGTAGAGCTTCCCTTTGTTCACATTCAGGACTCTTTGTCAAAGTAGGTCAGTTTTGGTTTTTTGAGTTTGTTCTCTTTGCTTTTGCGTTTGGTTGTTTTAACAGTCCACGTGCTTCTTTAACCTGCTTGGTACCATCGTAGCATTAAGCAAACTGTACTAACAAAGACCTCACTGGGGCTAGGTGCTGTTGGCATCCCAGTTCAAGCTATCAGGCAGGTAACTCTCACAAGTGCTGTCAGTTTATCTTCTTAGGTTGGTGGTTTGTGTAATCATCTGTTCTCCCTGTTATTAAGCTGCTCAGTGTCATTCGAGGGCTTTAATATATCACACTCTCATAAATCCTGACATCCAGTAACTATGCTGACTAACTTGGCTCAACTGGCATTACCCCAGTACAGTTGGAAAAATAATGCCATCAAATCCCTGGATTTGCCTCCAGCCACAGCAGTGTGACTTGACATCATGTGAGAGCCGTAGCTCTGGGTGAACCAAACACTGATGGCGATGCTCTAACTGACTCTAACTTGATGCTTCTGTCTGCAGATCCCTCCTGTTGCCACCATGCTGCCGAATTCTCACCTTGCAGAGAAGCTTGTGGCCAGGTATGAACATACACATTCACAAACACATAGATGCTTGTTTCATGGCTGTGTCCATTTATGTATTTGCCCTGAGAGAGCCTCCAATGAGAGGTTTTCAACCAAGTAAATGTGCTACCTGCAGTCCTCCAAAACCCCAACAGCATGTAGCTCAGCTGGGCGTAAGTCAAATGCTGATTGGCTTACGAATGACCCAGACCAGGTAAAGGATTATCATGCCCCTCCCAGACAGCACCAGTTGGACCACACACTTTGGACACTGCCTCCTCCATTTGGCAAGAGATGCTCTCTGCAGTTAGACAGGCTTTCATTTGCTCCCTAAGGTCATCTAACGCACTACCAGTGGAACACCATGTTGATCCCACAACAAGCCTTACTCACATCAAATCAGATTGTCTTTGAAGCTCAAAATATCAACTTCAGTCTCAACTTTTTTTAACTGACAGAAGGTGACGCTCCATCCTCATGTCAGTGAAAGAGGACTAAAGGAAATGTGAGAGAGGCTTTTGCATCAGAGCAAAAAGCAGCTGAGTGTTACAGTTTTATTGCTGCACTTTAAGGAGGTGCTGGGGAAATTGTGGGTGAGGGGTGAGAAGGGGTGATGGTTTCAAGAGAGATGCCGAGTAGACCTTACTGTGATCTTATTGACCAGCAAGTGAAAGTTGAAAACCAGTAAAGAAAAAGCTCAGAAAATGCTGAAAATCAAGTGTTGTAAGATGCACAAAAAGGGGAAGTAGTCTTTGGAAGGGTTAGTATTAGTTTTTGTTTTTAAGTAAAACTTTTTTACATTCAAAGATTTCAGAAAATATAAATTTAACTATTGACTTTCAGTCACAGTATCTCCAAAAAACCAAGCACTGCTCTGACAGAGACGCTCTGCTGACATCACCTAGTGGTGAGCCTCGTCCCACCCAGACTGGTTTGAGGCAGAACAAACCATGTACCAGCTTTGATTCAATTTTATTTATACAGCACCAAAACACAACAACAGTCTCCTCAATGTGCTTTGTATTGTAAGGTCGACCCTACAACAATACATACAGAGCAAAACCCAACAATCATATGACCCCCTATGAGCAGCACTTTGGCGACAGTGGGAAGGAAAAACTCCCTTTTAACAGGAAGAAACCTCCGGCAGAACCAGGCTCAGGGAGGGGCGGGGCCATCTGCTGTGATTGGTTGGGGTGAGAGAAGGAAGACAGGATAAAGACATGCTGTGGAAGAGAGACAGAGGTTATAACAGATATGATTCAATGCAGAGAGGTCTGTTAATACATAGTGAGTGAAGTAGAAACACCCAGTGCATCATGGGAATCCCCCGCAGCCTACACCTATTGCAGCATAACTAAGGGAGGATTCAGGGTCACCTGGTCCAGCTGATCCAGATTTACGGTGTAGATTGTGTTATATAAAGTCATGGTTTTTGCTTTTTCCTGCAGCTCACCACTATAAAGAGTGAGTCACGTCTGAAGCATCTCCTGCAGAGGTTACCTGGTTACTGTCCAGAGTCTATGGTGAGTCCATTTCACATACAGCAGCTACACGTACACTAACCAACAAGATGGTTTCTATTGGAAGCCTTGTCTCATGATTGTATTGTGTTGTGTCATAAGGTTTGAATATATAACACTTAGAAAATGTTGTGAATAAAAATGTTTATTAGCCTCACAGAGTAACTCGTATATATTTTGGCTCTAATATGCACAATTTCTGCAGAAGACTCATATCAGCATCTCTGCAATATAACTGACACGTGGACATGAGTTTGTGTGGATGCATGTTGGAGTGTGAGGGCAGGGTTCGCTCAGGTACAGTTGGCCCTGAAGTTAATGAGAAGCCAGTACAACAGAATTTACAGGATGCAGGAGCGTACTTAGAAGATCTAGGGCCAGAGCTACTGCACGTGAGCCCAGTCCCCAAATAGTACTGATCCGTGTGGTTAGTTTTTTGGATCATTTACAACAGGGCTGCCCAATCCCAGTCCTCGAGAGCTACCGTCCTGCAGCTTTTAGATGCATCCCTACTCCAACACAGCTGAATCAAATGGTTTGATTACCTCTTCAGCATGCCATCATGTTTGGCAAAGGCCTGATAACAAGCCATTCATTTGATTCGGGTGTGTGGGAACAAGGATGCATCTAAAAGCTGCAGGACGGTAGCTCTCGAGGACCGGGATTGGGCACCCCTGATTTACAACATTTGCATTGTTTTCAGTTCATTTTTCTACCAACAGCTGTGCAATTTAGCTCAAACAAATAGATGATGTTCAGCTGCAACACAAGGAGCTGTTGTTAATTACAGTAAGAAAAACAAACAACTAGTACACATGTACGTTAAATTTAGGCCTACGCAGGTCATCATAATGCAAACAGGCTCCAGTAACAACAGGCTCTGATGTAGACTGTCCCCATGTGCCCATGTTCTCTAGCATACTTGTAGTTCGACAACTTGCGAAGGAATAAAACTTTGAGGACTAAAACAAACCATGAACTACTCACTGGCAAAGGTTTATTTTGATGCTCTGCAACCAACGCTGTTGCTACAAAAGTTTCTTCTGCTGGATCTGTTTGCTAAAAACAAAATGGATTTGCAGACTTTGTGAGGGAGTCCGTACTCCTGAGCTGTAAACAGCTGGGAGGGCTGGTGGGCGGGGCAGCGTGGACAGCCAGGTTAATGCGACTCAAGAACAAGATGATGAAGGACTTTGAAACTCATACCATAGATGCATCTGTGAAAAATAGTAGTATTTCAGTATCGTCACCATATGTGTGGTGATTTCACTGACATGTTGTGACACTGGGAGGCAGGTTCAGTTTGATGGTGTTTCACATGTAATTTGACTTTCCTCGTCTTGGTCTCCCTGAGAGGTTTCAGCTAACGCCCAACGCTGTGCTCATCATCTCATACACATGTTAACCTACCCTTATCCTTGTGTTGCTGTGTGAATCCTCTGGATCGTTACTCATTAAAAGAACTCTGTTAGGTGATTGCTGGGCTCAAACAAACAGCTTGACCAGCTGGCATTCTCGCCGTGCCTCTGACCACTGAGTCTAGAGCTGCCCTCTGCCCTGTCAGTTAATAAACTGTGGAAATCTCTGAGTGCAGAATAGATTATGGAGATTATGATCTTTGATGTTGTTCTAGTAACCTTACTGTCCTTAGCTTTGCTTCTTTTTTCTTTTGCACAACTAAATTAGATTATTCACCGTCTCATGTATGCTTTCACACCATCCCAAAGGATACCAGGGGACAGGTGATGTGTGGTAGAGTTCCTGTCAGTCTGCACTGATGCCTTTGATAATGCCAGAGCTGCAGGAGCTACTGCTGGTATCTGTGTACGTCAGACTGATTGGTGAAGAAACAGATCAGAGTACGATCAACAAAAGTGTCCTTGGGGACGTTTGTCTGTATATTGTCCATGTGTCTGTCAGACCAGGCTCCTCTAGGTGCTTATCTGAGACATTTCTAAGGTGGGTTGTCTGTGCGTGTGTGTGCATCCAGGTGAGATCCACTCCAGTGTGAGTCATGTGACAAAACGATGACTGCGTATGTCCAGAAGAGAAACATGGATACTTTCAGTGGACCTGTTTTCATATTCAGTCTCCTTTCTAAGTCTTTGTGACTGTTGACTGTTGTATAATGAACTTCCCTGTGTGCTTTCCAAAGACCTGAAACTCTCTCTGGGTCTGTGGTTGATTAACAAGCTGTGATGGATGATTGCTGCTGTTCCTCTCTGTGAAACAGAGCTTCAGTGTAAAAACAGATCACAGTGGCTGCTGGGTGGGAGGAGGCAGCGTTCCCTTGTAGTGACAAAAATGTATTCGCTGTACAATTTAAAATAAAATGAAAAAATAAAAAAAGGCTGCTGCTGTTCATGGAAACGTTATCAAAAAGGAGAAAAGTGGACACAGAGTGTCGAGTAGTTCAAGAAGAGCAGAGCAGCTCCTGTTTATCCACCTGTGTGTTTGGTGTGTTCACGTTTCAGTGCTCAAGGAATAAAATATTCATCAGCACAGTGAGACGATCCTGGTGAACAGTACAAGAACGGGTAAGCACAGCTGACTACAGAGAAGATAAATGAGGGGCTGGTAGGTTTGAGGAAACAACAGTCTCTTTTTACTCAGCAGTGAAAGCTGGTTACCTTATGGAAGTGAAAGAACCCGAGTTTTCAAAGCCAAACTTTGAGCCCGGTGAGTTTGAAGAAGTGCTTTCTGAAAGCTGTGAAGAGAACACAGCTGACATGTGAACAAGTGTACGTCTTACTGTCCTGTACCAGCTCGACAACATGTGTCTGCGTCCCTCAGCTGTAGGACGCAGAGGACGCAGAGGGCTCTGGTTCCAGTGGGAGTTTCCTCACATTCATATTTTCAACACTCGTCTGTTTCAGTTTGAAATGAAGAATGTAGAGTCTGTTCTTTGTAAAACTGAACTGGCTCAGTTTATTCTGTTATTTTGTAAAGTCATGGGATTTCTGCATAACTAATATAGTGCAGCAGATAACTGCTGTGTGAGCACCGGCTCACTGAAACTGTTGATCCAACAACCAGTGAAGGAGCCGTGCACAGTGTGCTGCATCACGGGTCACACCTGGGCTTGCTGCACATCTGGAGTCGAGTAGACATGTGGTCAGCAGAGCAGCCAATCAGAGCTGCTGATCTGTACGTTTGCTTTACAGCTGTCTCTGAAAATAAATCATTGGTTAATTGTTTCTTTGAAACATTAACACAATCACAAAACTTTATTAATCCCTGAGGAAATGATGTGGGCTACAGCAACAGACTCAGCTAGTTAAATAATCCAATCTGTTACAGAGTTCACACATTTAACAAATAGCACTAATATATACAAATCACTCTATTATAAATATGAAGAATATTATAGAGTGGCCACATAATAACTCGTTCAGTTTTTTGTTAAAGCAACATTTTCTTACATCCAACCAGCTTCCTTCTCTCTTCAGCCAAAGTGTAACGCCCTCTTCTATGGTTGGTGGAACAAGCCAGAAACATTATTCTTATCACCTGCTAATTTCACCCATTTACTTTCATGAAAGACCTGCAGACTAATATATTCACATGGAATTATAAAGTTACCAAAGTTCGTGCTTCTTCTCCCAGACATTGAAGTGGAATTGCAAAATTGCTTTTTTAACAAACCCACGGTGTGTGAGAAAAACAGAGCTACATATCTGATAATTATGCTACCTGAATTATAAAAGCTGTTATTAAGGTTTTTTGTTAATAACCTCTGACATTAACCATTTTTATGTCTTACAGAATGAACTTTGGATGTGCATCAATTCTACACTTCCAGGTAAGCAGGTGAAACCACGACATCCTGATGCTGATCTGCTGTTGTATTTAACCACCAACCAAAATAAAATCTGTCTGCAAACTGTTGCACCGGCATCTGTTGGTGCAGCACATGTCACACTCAAGCGCAGATCAGAGTCCAATACAAGGAATGACATTTATTTACACAATCACCAAGTGCAGATACAGTGGGGCAATTGCAGGGTCCAAGGGAAAAATCCGGGAAGGGAATCTCATTCACGGGTCCAGGAAAACTATACACGGGGAAACGCCGGTTACTCAGAGGCAAAAACACACAGGAGATTCACAGAGCTAGAGATTCACTAACGTGTCTCGCACAATCATCCAGCAATGAGACCGTCTGTGTCCCGGCCTTAAATGTCCAACACATAATTGCAGCCTGATAAAGAGAAGGTATGTGAGCCAAGGGCGGGAGCCCGCAATGAGCTCCGCCCTGGCGGGGAGGTGAGAGGAGAAAGTAAACAGAAGCACACGTGGCCGGGCAGACACGGGGACAGCACATGTAAATGTACAGTACATACTGTTTATAGAGGAACATTGATGAGAGATGATAGCAGTGTCAGGTTGTGTACGCCATGTTCTTAACAGCATGGCTTTGTAGCAGTCGGCAGCTTAGCACCAACTGAAAACATTTGGTTGTTGTGGAATCACAGGTGTCTAAAATGTCCCTCTGGGTGCTTTCTGATGTGACACTGTTGAGGGCGGTGTCTACTTCGGGCTATGCAGCACAGTGGCGAGACCGCTGCTGCCTCACAGCGAGAGCATGTTGGGTTTGAATCAGGCCGGGGTCTTTCTGTGTGGAGTTTGCATGCTCTCCCTGTGTTTGTGTGGGTTGTCTCTGGGTGACTTCCTCCCACAGTCCAAAGACATGCAGTTAGTGGGGTTAGAGAGTGTGAATGGTTGTCTGTCTCTGGGTGCTAGCCCTGCGTCAGGCTGGAGACGTGTCCTCCACCCTGCCTCTCGCTCTATGTTAGCTGGGACAGGCTTCAGCTCACCGATGACCCTGACAAACATCAGCAGAAGAGGATGGATGGATGAAGGAATCAAAAAAACCTTCCTCCAGTCCTCTCAGAGTGAGACATCGTCCATCATTGATGTTCACTGATTTCCAGCAACATTCATGGATTTACTCTTAAGCTGGTCCTGCAGGTGTGTCCGTACACGTGCACGATGGTGGCTGGACAGATGGGGGAGAGGACTTTCCACCCACCCCGGACACGTGGAGATAGTGAAGTTCACTCTGCAAAGATCAGAATATACAGCATGAGAAGCACAGACAGTGACTACAGTCAACACCTTTGTTTTCAGACATGTGACAGCAGAGCTTACTGCAGGCAGTGAACTCGCTCGCTCTGCTTCACCATAAAACCACCTCCATGGTGTTATCGCTGCTCTCGTTTGAATATGAAAATCTCAGAATAAGTAAATGTGAATCTGTTTTCATAATTCACAGTAACAGTAAATAAATCAGTGTCACAAAGTGTGATAGTTAATAGCCATAGAAAGAAATCCACGTGGCAAAGAGCTGATTCTCTGGTGTATGATTTGCTTGCAGGAGTATCGAGGAAATCAGAAGGCTGGGTGGGGCTGGGCTGCTGTGAACTGGCCATCACGACCGAGTGTCGCAAGGAATGCAAACAGGTGAGATGCTGTGAGTCCATCCTGGGGTGTGAGCTGCTGTCCCCAACACTGATCTGATTTCTTTTCCCCATGTAGGCATCTTCAAAAAATGATATAACAAAAGTATGCAAGAAAACCACAGAGGTAAGTCCAACAGCTTCAGAGAGGTGAGAGTATTTTGCAGTGGCACACTGTCAGACAGATGAAGTTCTTAGCTCTGTGTTTCTGTGTCGCTCACAGATGGATTGTTGCTGTTATGCTTACATCGCTTATTGAAGCTAGCTGTCAGACTGTAAATGTCCTCGTGCTTGTTTCTGTCTCTTCCTCCTTCGACTGCTCCCTTTACAGATTTACAAGAGTATCAATGTGTCGATGAAAATGTGCACGCTTACATGGAAGTTACTAATGTTTCCACACTGTTGTTGTTATTATTATTGCTTCAAGTGTTTTCTTGGTCAGAATCACAGTTTCCTCACGTCTGTTCCAATGTTTGAATGAAATGTGATCAATCACTAAAGCACAAATATAGGCTTTTTTAGTCAAGGGTCAAAGGTCATTCAGTGGTTCAGAGACTTGAATCCAGTAACATGTTTCTGCTGCAGTAGTGTGGTCTGTGTGAGCAGAGTCACCACAGCTTCTTGTTCTCATTCTAGAACTCGCTCTACAGCTGCATCACCAAAAATGAAAGTAAGTCTTACTCATTCACTCACTTCCTGCCACATTTAGTGTTTTTGTCTCCATCCTTGGTTTGTCATACGTACTATAAATAAACAAATAGCAGAGCTTTGTAATTTGCCTACCTCATAACTTCTTGTTTAGAGGATATATCAGTATTATTATTATTATTATTATTATTATTATTATTATTATTATTATTATTATTATTATTGTTGTTGTTGTTGTTGTTGTTGTTATATCTGTTTGTTATGATTCTTTACAGAATAGTTTGAGTGGTATTCGTTTTTTGCTGTACAGTGCCAGTTTTATTCTTAGTTTTATTTGTCACACTTGCATTTTTCACAGGGTTAAACAAATGTTAATATTAGACAAAGATAATCCAAGTTAATGCAAAACACTCATTAAACAATGGTCTATTGTGAAAACAAACCTTCCTTTCACTGTTAAAGAGTGGCTGCTCCTTGAACCTAATGAGGAGAAATGCAATCGAGCGTTTGTAATAACCAGCAGTGAGTCGTTCATGTTGCTCTGAAGGCTGCTTTTCTTTGCGGAATTGTTTTCATTCAGTCACAGTGGAGGATTTCCAAGAGCATGCCACAGTGTGTCGATACACAGCAAAAACTCCAGTGTTAAATTAATACTAGAGAGTGTCTGTATGTGTCCAATCCTCTGAGTGTTAAATATAAGTGCTGATTTTCTAACACTGGAAAATAACTCAAAATGTTAGAAATATTCCAGTGTTAGAAAA